ACTTTTGCGCAAAGGTCCGATATATACATATGTATATGTATGTATCTAAAAAAAATTAAAAACTTTCCATATATAAAAACTTTTTGTACCACTTCGGGAAGATGTTTTTCACTGAATCCCCCAGAAATTTCGAATGTTAACCGTTTGCTAGTTTGGTTTTAGTTTTTGTTGTAGCAGTTTTTTTTTTTTGTCGTCAAGCTGACAATTTTTTAAGTGCTATATACAATTTGCCGGCACTATTTTTTAATGGAAGGCCGGGCGTATGATTGACGCCAGCTAATTATACCATTTAAATTTTATTTGTTTGCATTTTGTTGACAATTGAAATGCTTGCGATACGTTAACAAGTGGAAATGTAAATTAATGCGTAAGAGCGGCAAAAAAAATTAAATAGAAGTCACCCCATGTTAACGCTTACAGTTGCAAAGAAAAATTAAAAAAAAAATAGAAACTAAATTAATTGCCTACTAGAACGCAAACATTTAAAAACACTCATCATTCAAAATCTTACTGTTTGTTATTTATTTTTTTTTGCTCGTTTCATTTATTTTTCTACAATTAATTTATTTGTACGCCACAATTGACGCACCACCGGCATTGACGGACACGGCATGCGTGTAGTTACATGAGTGCGCTATGCCGTACTTTTCCGCCAAGCTTGCATCTACTTCCTATTTTTTATACATGCACACACACGCACAAACTTGATAAGTAAATTCATTAAAAGTATACGAGTGTATCGTCAGGCATCGGATTCCGGCCATCGCATGGTGGGACTTCACTGCGTCGTATGCTGATGACGCATTTCCATGTCGTGGATTGCCTATAAATATTGCTGGTGCAAATTATGCACATCATTTATTTAAGCATTATTTTAGTACTTTATTAAGTGCATACACAAAAACATAATATATACACGCATACATACATACATACATGGGCTTGTTTGTAAGCACGATTTAAAAGCGCAATTGATAACGTTTTCTAAAAGGTGAATATTCATTACGCAGTGCATGAAATTGACCGATTAAATGCGCCAACACACACATAGACACTAAAATAAAGGCATATGCTGTCATATACTTGCTTGGAAATAATCAGTCATAAAAATACAATAAAAATAAATGTTTGTTTTGTTTATACATACATATGTATGTAGCTATGTATGTAGTACAGGTACATTGCCCACGCACGAGTGGGTGAGTTGATATCTTGGCAGGAAATAAAAGTGCACACCTACTTAATAATGACCTATTGCAATGAAAATGGTTGATGGTGATTGATTGGTGGCAATGAAAAATTTATTAATTAGTTTTTTTTTCTGTGGAATATTAAAATAACTACATACTTACATGCACTTTGGTTTGCTTACGGTGGAGTTCTAAGCTTAACTAAATAAAAAAAAATAGCGGGAACATTTATGTACATATTGTGTGTTCCAGACATTACTTGAATATGAAGAGTTTCTCTTATCAGCTCAGTGGTGTGCTATACATTTCGGGTAAAGAGTGGTAAAAATCTTTAGCTACAAGCTTCTTGAAGAAATGTTCAAGGGTTCTAATGATATATGGTAAACCTCTGCAGTATAAATAAATGTTTATATGTTCTCAGAGTTATGCTATTTAAGGGAGAAAGCGTGGCTTTAAAATTATGATGCGAGAACTGAAAACTTTAAGTACTGGTGAAATATTTAACTGCTTGGAGGTTTTTTTCTATAAACGGTTTGTAAGCGCGTTTGCATCTCATCCTGTATTAGTAGGTCATACATACATATATTGAGGTATCAAATTAATAAATTTTTTAAGTCTCGCTTACTAGATTATAGACTCCCAGAAAAAATTTCCAGGTATTTTAGGTTTGTTCATTGGTTTATAGTTTGGTGTGTGTTGAGAGCGAAGCCTAGCGCACAACTCGTTGCATTTGAATAGCACGCTCCTCCCTCGATGAACGAAAACTACGCTCTACAAGTCTCACATAAAACACGTAATCTTATTTCCCGCAGAAAAGTGGTGTATAAATATGAGACGATTTTGGTGCTCCATGGCAGTAAAACGAAAGCTGGGATGCTCACGAACACAATGGAAGAACCAAGTGTAGAAGGACCCGCCTGCATTAGGGTTGAACAACCCAAACCCGCAAAGGAGAGAGGCAATTGGCGAATTTTGTGATCTCGGCCAAAACCGAAAAACGATTGACTTGCCAAATTAAAAATAGAAAATGAATTTCTCTTTAAACCAATTTTTTACTGGGTTCATAGAATCGAAAGCCATAAATCAAAAGTGTGCTAGTATTTGCACTTGTGCGGCCACTCAGTGGGTGGTAATCTGTATATCAATATCATATAAACGCTTACAAATGTATGCGTATATATGTATGTGTGGTTGCAAATAAGTAAATAAACAAAGCAGTTAAAGCCATATCACACAAAAAGAACGTGGGCTTATGTATGTATGTTTACATAGCTATGTACCTGCCTTAAACTAATTTTTATATTACCTATTTTTACTCGTTTGACGTCATTCACTTTTCCTGACTATCTCCATTCTAAATGTATCGTCTGATGTACATACATAAATATAAAATTAATATTGCCCACAGATTGTTACTTGCCTTTATACATAAATAATAGACAAAATTGGTTCGTTTTTAAACCCCTACGATGCAATTATTTTTTAACTAAAAACAAATTTAAGCAAATAAACATAAGTATTAGTTCCAATCAAAATTTAAGATATGCTTTACGTGTATCAAGCACAGGCATCTAATGCGACATACTTTATTGTAACGGCGGACATAAATTCTGCTATTTCTACTAGGAAAATTTTTGGGAAACAATAAACCACTTCCTCTATGACAAGTTATCAGATAAGCTGATAAGAAAAGCATTAGTATACATATGTATGCACATATGTAAGGTTATCTACATATGTTGTCAAGTAGGTGTGATATTGTTAAACAATGCTTGTTTTTAATATTTATTTAAATATATTAGATATTTGGGAAACTGAACTCACTGATTTTAAATGCATATTTAACAGTTAAGCTCAGCTACAAAATGAATTGACTTTTCAGAACCTGACCAGTTCTATGATACTTGCATAACTACAGAGTAGTAGAAATAGTGGTAAAATATTTCTTTATATAGTTTGTATTGCGGCGTAGAAATTTACAAATAGTATTCTACACCCAGGATATGGCTAAATTATAATTACCAAGTTTCGGTAGGAGGAACCAAGTAGCGAAATAAATATGTATTTAGTTGGCGAATGTCTGCAATGTACGTAAATACATGGCGTATGAGTTATCCAGACGAGATGAGAATGTTACTCATACGCCATGTACGCACGTTCGATTTAAACTTTTACATGATAAATGGTAAATCCAATATGGATCCGCCATTTTGAGTTATAAAATCTGATTTCAGGTTGATAAAGTCGCTGACCTTAAGATCCCCAAATTGTAAAGTTTCAAGCGAATCCAATCGAAATAAGTTATAAATAATAATTAGTGTCTCCAAATTTTTTGTTTTCCACAAACTGTAAGTTTCCATAAAACACTGTACTTTCAACCAAAAAACGAGGAAAGTTATAAAAAAATAAAAATTTTTAATTTCATTGATTATAAATAGCAAAAAACGATAAATTTAAAACAAAATAACATAAAACATTTAAGTTATACTTAACTAAACAAAAAAATACTTTATAAAATGGATACTTTAAATAACATTTTGTTTTAAACGTCTGATAAATTTAAAAACTGATTGGTGAAACTGGGTATTAGTTTATTTATTTCTTGTTGATTAATTTGCTAATTTTTTTAACATTTCTTTCAACACCTCAATTTTAGTACTATCTGAAGAATTTTTTAACGAAATTTTTCAGTTCTTCAAATACCAGAGAACATTGAAAATTCCAGTTTATTTAATTTTTTATTAAAATTTATTTGGGAAAATATTCTTTCTACATTTGCTGTGGCGACTCGAATGCAAAGGACAATCGAAAACCATTTGTTTCAAATGAGGAATGCTGCTCCTTCAACGTTCTCTTTTATCTTAAAAATTTGATTTACAACAAAAAAAACCTAAATCGAAATTTTGTTACTCATTGTAATTTATACTAAGTAGGTAGCAATTTAAGTAACTCTAACCTGGTCCTCAAGTTTTCGCAGGGATGTTTCTGTGTGCGTTCGAGTGGTGGATTGCTAAGCCCGACTGAGCCGATTTACTTTTACTATTTGCGAAATTGGTTATGACATAAGTTAAAGTAGCTTTGTTGCTTACATTTTTTATGAATGAAATGTTCAAAAATTAAAATAATAGGGAATATTCATAGCTATATACATGTGTACTACATTTATATTTTTATATGTGCATTTTTATGAGAATATAAATTAGCTACTGCGGTAAACCAAAAGAAAATATTAATTAAAACAAGAAAATAATCAAACACAAATATTTATAATGCAGTACTGCTATTCAGTGCACAGTAGACACAGCTGAAAAAAGTTTTGGGAATTTGAATCTGCCTGAGTTTGAATTTGTTTAGCGGCGGCGCTTGGGTGTACCCTAAACAATAACTGCGAGTAAATAATAATAAATAAAATAAAATGGAATAAAAGCAAAATAAAATAAATGCCTAGTCATTTTTGGAAGTTTACGGAATTTTTCGAAACTCCCTTTTTTTTAATAAAATGTGCAAAAAGCGCAGAATCGATTGAAAGCACTTCCCCTTTGAATGTTCGGCCCTTGGTCTCTCCGAAGTTACGCAGTAGCTTAACTTTAGCCTATGCACAATTTTTTGCAAAAAAATTAAAAGCATATTTCCAATCGAATTGAAATAAATTTAAACTATTACCCAAGGCACATTGAACTTTACTTTTAGCCGTATCATAAACTTTGATTTCACTCCGTGTTTTTATTTAAATCCACATAACTAGTAAAAACAACAGCTCACTAATTTTTCTCCGCTACTCTTCTCTCTCTCTCTCCGCCGCTCTTGCAGATGACACTGTGCAACGTAATGGTAGCAGAGCTAGTCAGCATATACGTAATCCCAGATATTACCATCAACAACAACAACAACAGCAGCAACCACAAAACGGTAGCAATTCGAAAAATGATTCATCCGATTCGGGTGTTTCGACAAATGGACGTCATCAACATCACCACCACCACCACCACAATCATCAACAACATCAACAGCAGCAACAGCATATTCGTCAACAGCAGCAACAACAACAACAACAGCATAATCAAAAGCAACGCAAAACGCGCTCAAACAGTAAACGACAAGAAAATAACCACGCAACAAGAGATGAGAAACGTTCAACCGATTATTCAGTTGATGATTGGTTGGGCCATGAAATGGTTTACTGTTACGATCATCGGTATATATCTTCATGCGCCGAAGGTGAGTACTAATAGTTAGTGCTATTGGATCGGGGCTTGAAGGTTGAAGAGCTAAGCACGAGCAACTATTAAAAGTTTGATAGAATGGAAAAGTTAATGAATTTGTTTGTATGAAAGAGAGAGAGTGAGAAGCGAAAATTTCTGCGATTCCTGCGATTTCTGTGATTCTTGCGATGATAATGTATATATATATATTCCTTTTATTGTGGTATATGTAATATAAAAGGTGTCCTAAATCATCCGTCCACCCCCTCTGAAAAGGAAGGAAATGTTTTTTATTGAATACCACAAAAATTTGACATACTGAATCGGAGATGCTCTGTGTTTTGGTGGTATTACCGACTTCCGGTTTCGACCGGAAGTGGGTATAACTGACTGGTAGTTCATTTTTTTTTTCAATTTAGATATACATGTTTTTACTACAGATTTGGATTCTAAGGATAAAAGTACGTAACTTTTGCTTGAAACTTTTTTCTCAGAAGTGGCTTGCAGCCCGATTTTGATATTCCATTCATAATGGTGTTCATAACATTCAACAACTAATCAGATTTATACCGAAATTCGTAAATTTACACCAAGCTATATACCAGTGTGCTACTTGAGTCGACGCTAACTTTATTTGTCCAATTTAAAAATCACCAAAATTAATTCATGCCAAGTTTTTAAATTACCATAAAATCATTTACAGTTTTTAATTTTCTAAAAATGAGTGTCCATTTTTTTAGCAACAAAAATTTATGACAAGTTTTTAAAAGACCCAATTTTTTATGAATTTTTTTACAGTTTTTTAATCTCCAAAAATTATTGTGCAGTTTTTTATACAAAAACGCTTTATATCCAGTTTTTAAATTGCCAACAATTTGTGTCCAGCTTTTCATAAAAAAGATGATGCCCAGTTTTTAGATTTTCAAAAACTCAAATCCAGTTTTCAGGCTCCCAATAAAGTTGGCTATGCCGAATTTCCACTAGGCATTGAAATGATAAAAAACGTATGCCATTTAAAAAGGAAACAGACATAATGACTAACCGACTTCAATTCGCATATAAAAATTTAAGATAATCGTTAATTTATTCCCCTGAATTTAAAAACATAGAAAAATGGAAAAATTTGCCATAGAACTATTGAAAGTACAGTAAAACATTCAACGCTTTTATTTTAGTTTTGTTTAATTTCACTCCTCTATTTGACCTACATAATTTCACTTACTGCACCTCATTTCACTCACATTTGACCTAGTTGTTAGTTTTGCGCTCATTTCGTACGCGACTATCAGCTGACGGCTGTTTAAATAGCAACCATGAAATGTTCTAGCTAAACGTTCATATTTACCATTGAAATGCAAATATGTAGGTTTAGTTGTAATGCTCCTATGTAAGACTCCATAATAATACACTTTTGCATTCTAATTGCAAAATGCCCATTCAGTGCTGCCGAAGCCTAGATCGGCATGAAAATGAGTCTGAATTAAGCTAAAATTAAGGTCAACAAAAACAACCGGAATTTAAGTACATACTTAGGTATATAGCTGACTATAATGTGAAAAAGATTTATAAAAAATATTAATAAACAAAATTCTTCCATATTTATACTTACTTATTGAGAGAATTTCACCTAAGCATCTAATACAACCCTCTACGTGCTTTCTCAACGTAAAATTCTTATCAGTTAAATATTTTAAAAGCAATTTGTAAACACTACCGTGCAGTGTTAGTAAATATAAATTTTTGAAATTGCAGCGTAAAATGACAACTAAAAATACAACTTCTACAAAATGCACACATATACATATATTAGCAAATTCCTAGTAAACAAAATATTATAAATGGCGTGACGAATTGATTGCCTCCGCGTACATACACGTAGTCATAATATTTGCGCGCATTATTAAATGTTGTGAAAGGTAGAAATTTTAGACATAAAAATATTTTGCATTTCAAGCGCAAGAAAAGCATTTCTTATGTAAATAAATTGATTTGTTCGTTAAAAATAAGTAATCACAATTACATGCTTGATGCTGGGTCATAAGGTAAGGAACATTCGTATAGGGTGATCCATGTAGACATTGGTCTTTGAATTTTTAATAAAACACTTAAAACAAAACTGGATGTCTGAACGTCTGGCATTTATTTTCTTTAAATATTTCATTAAAATTTGAAATTAAAGCAAGTGATGTCTGAATTTTTCTTCTCCATCGATAATCTAGCTTTGGCTCAAAACTTGGAAGCCAAACTCACTCGCGTAATTCGGGCAATGCTGGAAAGATTGATTGAAAATTTGACCTTTCGACATCCAGTTCTGTTTTAGAAGTTTTATTTAAAATGAATAAAAATGTTTGGATGGATCACCCTATATTTATAATTAAATAATGATAAATAATATTAAAAAACAAACAGCAATTGCCAATTGTCATTAGAAAAAAAATAAAAAGTGCAAAAAATGCATTAACTTAGAAAACAACTTATTTTGCCAAACTATGAGTCAGCTATATATATATAAATTACTTATTTGTTTTGGTTCGGAAAGCAATAGCGATTACGAATTATATATTTTTGCAATTCTTAAATAAAATGACTATCTTTGGTGCTGCTAAAAAATTCTTACAAATATTAGTCATCATTGAGGAGCGCGAATATTAATGCCATTAAGTGTTGTATGTATTAGACACGATGAGTGGATACGTGAAAAAAATAAAAAAATAAACAAAAAAAAAGTGGCCAAATAAAATATAAAAGCCAAAATGCAGAGTGACGCGTTAAAACAATTACTACCTTATCACTATGATTACTCAGTATTTATTTCGGAAGACGCTAACTGATATGCAATTGACAAGGACTGTAGATCATACCATATCATATTAATGACAAAAAAAAAATAGATTTGCTTGACATACTTTTTTGGGCATATGTATGTACAGTCCAGCTGACATTAGTGTTTAAAATATTTCATAAAAGTTTCAAGTTCTCTTTATAAATTACTTCTTTCAAGTATTACAAGTATATTTTTATGCAGACATACATATGTATACTTTCGTAGCAACTCGATGAAGAAGTCTGATGAATAGATGTGGAGATCTCCGAAATAGCCGCTATAACTTATACCATTTATAAACTGGTGTTGTTTTTTTTCACAGTAATTTTGCACAAAAATGCGACCTCAAGCCGTATGCATATGTATGTATGTGCATATTTTCGTAGCTTGCAGCAATAAATAATTCTTATTGTTTACCAAAACAAAAGGCAACAGTAAATATAGAAAGAATCACACCCTGCAAGCAATTAGTTGCTGCCGACTTTATGAGCAACTGCTTTATAAGTAAACGCTAAATGATGCGCAAAACCGGCGAACAACCAACCCATTCCGGTTTCGATATACATAAGTACATACATACATACATAAATGTACATTAGATTGGCCCAAAAAAAAAAAATCCAAGATATGGTTTGGTTGGGTCACATACACACAATTTTTCCTCTTGCCGAAAGAGGTGCTGGTACCAAACCTTACGTGTCTATGTATAAATTTAGAGGATGCTCATATTTTACCCTAGAAGTATTGTGTACATCTATTAATGAAACAATTGGTAAAGTACTTAACCTAAGAACATTTCAAATTTAAATTATCTAAAAAAAAAACGCACAAGCTTCAGTTCTCATGGCAACAGTAGCTTTTTATAAAAATCACCAATATTTTTGCCAGTTTCACAGCGGTCTAGTAGCGCATTTCAAGGCCATTTAGCATTCTGTATTGGTTGCGGTAGAAAACTGAAAGTTGGTATAGGCATTACAAATATCAAAAGGAAAAAAACTAAGGGGTGCCCCGTTTTCTAGGATAAACATTTTTTTCCCATACAAAAATTAGACCACTCTAATGTTTATATAGTACAAATATAAGGACATACATAAATATGTACGCATATGACGCTTAGACTACTTATTTTCTTAGTTACGCATGAAGGCAGACATCTCATAAACTTAGTCAACTATAAATGTTGGTGTTGAGAACCTCTACAAATTATTTAAAGTTCATTAGCACATCGCATATAAAAAATTATTTAAAATTTAACTAAAAATATATATGTATCTTTAAAATCACTAATGCACATATTGGCGACGCTATATTAGGCAAAAATGACGGATGTGTCCACATAGAATCTGCAATTCTTAGCAGGTTCTCAAAATAAATTAAATATTATATCTGTGGACATTTAACAAAACCACTTAAGGCTATCATTTACGGTGTCGGCAAAGCTCTTTTTACCGTCAAAGATATCGATTTACTTAAATTAAAACATGCAACATTTTTCTCTTTGACTGTAAAATATATTTTGTCGACATATGCTTATGTGAAAGACAGACTTAAGTTGTTTTGTCAAATGTCCAACGGTATGTAGTTAATAATTAATTCGAAGTAAATTTCACTACTTACGAGCGGCTTTTGCCTGACCGGATTATTTAGTACTTTTAAAAGTAATTTGTCCTGCTATACTCCATCTTTTTGATGTCAGCAGCTTTTTATCTCAACCGAAAAAGATTACATTTTAAATATTTTGCACATATGTACATCATTTAAGCACGAGGGTGAAAATTTGACAAAGAATGTTTTGCAGTATCGCTAATGATATTTTACCTTCATCATAAAAATTTTAATTTTTATAAAAATCCTGTAATACAAACCAAAATTGTCCATTAGCTGGGGGGGGTTTCAAAATATCATAAACACATATTTCCTTTTAAGCGTAAATATGGACGATAAATGAGATTTGTGTGCATACATATGTAGCATCAAACAAGTAAATTTGTTATTAAAAATTTTCTCTCTAGTGGAGAAAATATTACTTTTTTTTTTGGAAAAACCCCCAAATTTGTACCAAATCAATCAACAATTTCCGGCACATTTTCCACAAAATCTTATTCAGCGCAATTCCGTTTAAGCATTGCAACTTTGAATTCGTCTTACCCTACTCCGCTGCAAAATTTAATATACACTTTTCATTAATTATA